GTACCTGCTCCTATTTATAACCGGGAGAGTCCATGCGTACGTGAGTAAATTACTATAACAGTTTATTTGTTGTATCTTTCCTAGAATGATGATTTTGTCCTTTGGCAAATTTTCTGAACCCAAGAAATCAGATATTTATATATCCTTTTTCAGAAGTACGACACATCTCCAACAACCCTAGAATGAACTTATTCTTTTCTAGTTCAAACGCACAATGTTAAAGTAAACTTCGTACTCAGTGTCACATCAGAACATTAAAAGATGGTGATGCCTTAAGAGTTAATTAGAAGGTAAACGCAAACGCGTCAATCATGACATCAAAGCCTGTTGGCAGCCGCTCCAAAATAGACAGGAATCAAACCTAGTTGAACTGAAGATAATAAAATCGAATTAAATAACCGCGGTGCTTGGTAAAAGAGAATATCTTTTACTCTCCTGTTGTCCATTATAGGCATTATTTTATATGTGATTTAGTAAGACCTTGATACAGTAGAAGGAAGGTAGGACAAATCAGGGCTGATAAACTAAATGCATACTAAATACACATTTTTTATCGCTCTGCAAGACAAGAAATTATATACAAATATATATGTGCCTATCACTAATGTTCTCCGCAGTGAAACTATAACATGTATGAATAAAACAAGCAGTGTGAATGAGTGAAAATCTACATGTTTTTCCTATGATATTTATGAAGGGAAAACGGTCAGAAGGGAAAACGGTCTGATGTATTTTACGTTCCTTGGCAACTGCGGGAATTTGAGGTCTGTCTTCTTTGCGGTCTATATAGCAACTGAAGTTTGTTACCCCATAAGCTGATACTCACCTACCATCAACTACTACTAAAAAGGGATATAACCTTCTGCATACCTACAGCCGAACACACAAGAGGGAAGAGAGCGTAATTCCTGTCCTAGTGTGAAGAGGGAATGTTAGAAGAAAGTCCCTAAACAAACTGCATACCTTCCATGACCGACGTTAATCCGACAGTGAATAAGCTTTTTTTATTTTTTCGTACAAAAACATTACTTTTGTAACTAACATAATTTTACACTGAGATTTTTACAAACATTTATCATCCAGTCATTATTGCACCTATTTCAACAACGGATCAGGAAAACAAAACCTGTTTCTCATCGAAGACTATATGAACTACGATGACTTGGAACTGCAATTAAACGAAAGTTCCGGATCTTCAATACCGACGTCAGGTCGGTCCTATTTTACGGCACAGAAACCTTGCGGGTTACCAAGACCAACACCCACAAACTTCAGAGATTTACTAACCGATATCCCAGCAACATCCTCTATATCATGTGGCCGGGAATCGTCTCCAATGACCTACTGTGAGACAGGACCAGACAAGCTCCAATCGAGATTGACATCAAGAAACAGAAATGGGGATGGATCGGCCACACGCTCCGCTATTTTTTTTTTAGTGTCACCAGGCAGGCCGTTGCCTGGAACCTGCAAGGGAAGCAAAAGTGGGTCGACCAAAACAGATTTGGCGCAGAAGTGTAGACGCAAACGTGAAGTCAGCCGGAACGACATTGGCCGAGCTGAAGAGGATAACCCGGAACCGCGTCCGCTGGAGAGGTTTTTTTGCGGCCCTACGTTCCCTAATGAATTAAGAGGCATAATGAATGAATGAGTGAATGGGTAGCTCCAGAATCCATCATTCGGCCCAGATTAGGATCTTGGCGCAGAAGTATTGACTCAAAGGTGTCATGACATATGCCGAGCTGAAGAGGATGTCCCGGAACGGTGTCCTTTGGAGAGGTGTTCCCCAAGGAATTAAGAGGCATAAATAATAATAATATTAAGTTTACATAGTATGGAAATATCTGAAACTATAAGCTTATCTTAAAATCTGTCACAGGGTGAAATTGGCCCATATTTATTTATAACGTCAACGGTGGTTGCAAATGCTTACTTACAAATGCTGCAAGAGATTGACATTGATAACATTGATAGGGTATTTCCAACAGAATGGTGTACCACCTTATTTTGCCCATACTGTTCGCGCTTGTCTCGATCAAAGTTTCCCTAATCGTTGGATATGTCGTGGCGGACCGTTAGCATGGCCACCAAACTCCCCTGATCTGACACCCCGTGACTTCTGGTTAAGGGGTAGGATAAAGGATCGCGTGTATAGCAAAAAACATCAGAGACATCGAAGAACTCAAGGACAGAATAAATGATGTAATATCAAATAATTCCCCGTGAAATGTGTGTCAAGGAACTTAATTGTACTCTTGATCGCTGTTTTTTGCGCATCAATCGTGCTGGTGGACATGTGGAGACTGTTCAGTAGACTGTGAATAAATGATTCCTCTCATACTAGTTTTAACATGATTTTGACTCACCCTGTATTTAGCAATTATAAATTTTCATCTTGATGTCGCCAGAGCAACGGAGATAATTCTTCTTTACACATTTTACTAGGAACATCAATGATACAGTCAAGCCGGACAGAAATATGCTTCTGCATTTGGCACTTTATATAGTAATTTTTGATGGTTTCAAATACGGCGATTATAAAAAAAAATATAGTAGCAGGAATAATAGTAGTAGTAAGGATCTCGTGAGAGCAACGTCTTTGGTCAAAATTCAGTGCTTTCGTGGTGAAACCGGGGTAACCTCTCTTGACCGGAGGCTTGGGCGACGGTATATGGAACCTGCCCAGAAGATATAGACCTCGTACCGACCAGATATAAAGAAATTATTGGGGGAAAGTTAGAATGTTATTAAGTTCAAATTTACTTTCTTCTTTGGTAGTTAGAATTTATGAATTTAAGCGCAGTACTAGATTGGAAGTTAGGTCTCATAATTTTACAGTTGAAATGGCTATATGTAACTGTAACTAACAGTTTTGTTTTTTGACACTTATCGCTTGTAGAACTCTTTTCCGACTTCTTGATTTCAGGTCAAATTTGAACTTCAAAAATTTAAATGCAATATCAATCATCATCATCTGATTTCTTAATTCCTATTATTGTCCTCTCTCCTTAATAATGTTTCATTTTTCTTATATTCTTCCACACTATTGTGTCTTTGGGAGTTTATTGCCTTACTTTAGGTGAAATGTTTAAAATATTAAAGACATTACATTTGGGGAAGGCTTGACTGCATGAGTTACAGGGAACTTGTCAGTGTTGACTATCTGACGTCTTCGGGGCTCCAACTGGTTCGATTTGTATACTGCCTCTTCCACTGCATTCTTTTGAGGATCATTTATCCAGCTCTCACAATTTCTTTCCATCCAGAACCAATAACTTCTCAGTTGCTGCTTGGATATTCTTTGGGTTTGAACTTTGCTTGATTCCAAAGAATCCGAGCCATGTCCATATCTACTGCAGTAAATCTCAACAGGCGAAATGTATATCCTGCTAGGCATTCTTATCTTAGAATTCTTTTAACCCGTTTTGGCACCGTTCTGCCTTGAGTAGCATTCGCATACGAGATGAACAGCCTTCTTCCCGACGCAACAATCGCTTATTAGGAATATATTTTACGGAAAAAAGACCATCGAAATAAGAAACTGCTTTCAGGGACAGCAAATCAAGTAGAAGTAAATCCATACGAGGGTGAAACGTTCATAGGTTGACTATGAAAGAGCGATCCTAGAGCTATTAATAAGAAGAGCTGAAATTAATGCATACAATATTTCTAGCATCATTCCTTCAGAGTTAACCCAGGACTTTTCAGATGACCCTCGTATTGCGAACTTCTGATTACATCCTTGTGTAAATTAATTGAAACCAAACGAATAATTCCGTTAATATTTACTTTTTCTTTCGTAGTTTTCCAGCTAAACATGACCCAGTGCACATGTTAGTACTTCACATGTCCATTCAACGAGGTCCTTCCTTGCAGATTGACCACAGATTCTCGATTGGATTTAAATCAGGAGAGTTTCCGGGTCAATCTATAGAACTTTGATTACCTTACTGGTGCCATTGTGTTCATGCAGCCTTACATATTTTCGTATGCTTCCTTGGAGTAACGCCCATTGCAGACAATGGACGTAGAAAAACTAATCAACAGACAAGACAATAGTATCTGGGCTGGGTAAAATATCTGATGCAATCATGGATGACGCAATATTTTTCAAAGCCAATAATATACCCCAAAAATAAATTCATATTACAATACACAGCTGTAAATTACCTAATCTGAGGAAAATTCAATTACACCCTGTCACTCCAGTGTGTCTAAAACTAACCGTATGATGAAATAATGAAACTAAAGTGTTTTTTTCAATTAATTTTCACAAGGGTATATATTCTTTTTTTAGATCTGTCAGAAATAAATCTTTTATAAAAATGACTCAATATTTTGTTTGACTGCTTCTTCAATTAAAAAGATGACCAAAATGTTGTGACCTGGTGTAAATGTCTGAGCAAAAATTCAACGTAAAATGTTAACTATTTTTTTTATTAATTTTAAAGGTTTTATCTAGTTTTTTTTCTGACATGGCCATCTTAGTATCTTTTTTATGGCTGATACGATCTTGTAATCTTTTTATGACATGGCTTATGCTATCTTGAATTTTGATGAGGTAAAATATTGATAAACATTATTTTATTTACTATTGTTACTTTCATGTTAATTTTAGCTGGATTTTTAATTCCTACATCATCATTCTACAATTACTAACAGCACGAATTCAAAAACCTCGCAAAGATAGGCAGTTTGAGGCCTACAGAGGGGAGGGGTATTTTTTATTCGTGATTCACATTGCTCGCTAATGACTGTAGAACTGGTCTGCACAAAATACCTCGTACCTTCCTAGAAATAAGAAACTGATTTTAGTTGGCTTCAGCAAAGTTAAGTCACTGACCTTCTGACAGAAAAAGAAACGTATTTATAATGAATATCATCGGGACATAGGCGAATGGCTTCACAGTCACAAGAGGCTGGTGTGAACGAAAATAGACAAAGTGTTGAGTAGGGGTGTAGGGGAAGATAATAAAGAAGACTCGTTCTATTTCTTTTTTTTAGTCGGGAAAAGAAAAAAAAAAAAAAAAAGAAAGAAAGAAAGAAAGAAAGCAATGAGCAAAAAAGAAAGAAAAAATGCAAAAAAGAAAGGAAGAAAAAAAACAAAGAAAGAAAGAAAGCAAAAAAGAAAGTAAAAAAAGCAAAAAAGAAAGAAAGAAAGAAAGGCAAAAAAGAGAGAAAAAAGAAAGAAGGAAAGAAAGAAAGAGATAAAAAAGAAACAAGCTTTTAGCAAAAAGGAAAGAAAGAAAGAAGGAAAAGAAGAAAGAAAAAAGAAAGAAAGTAAAAAGGAAAGGAAGAAAGAAAGCAAAAAAGAAAAAGAAAGAAAGCAAAGAAAGAAAGCAAAAAAGAAAAAGAAAGAAAGCAAAAAAGAAAGAAAGCAAGAAAGAAAGGCAAAAAAGAAAGAAAAAAGATAGAAGGAAAGAAAAAAAGAGAAAAAAAGAAAAAGTTTTTTTAGCAAAAAGAAAGAAAGCAAAAAGAAAGAAAAAGAAAGAAAGGCAAAAAAAGAAAAGAAAAAAAAAAAAGATAAAGAAAAGTAAAAAGCAAAGAAAAAAAAGGAAAAAAGAAAGAAAGCAAAAAAAAAGAAAGAAGGAAAGCAAAAAAAGAAAGAAAACAATCGACCTTTACAAGAGTGATATCAGACCAAAAATGGCGTACTATTGTCATATTTGGTTAGGAGTTGCCAAGGATCTCCCTTTCCAGCCTTGAGTCCATATGCGTCTTCGAGCCCTTGTGGGTGACGAATTATTCGTCATTCTTCAACAACTTTACCACAGGCGGGATGTAGCAAGCCTCTCGTTGCTCTAAAGCTATGTCCATGGAATACCACATCCGACGAACCACATTCACTGGTACCGCCAAGTCAAATCATCACAGCAAGAACACGCCTTAATATCGAAATATCCACATTCCCTTCGTATTCCACCAGTTCCACTCGAACCGCGAAGGAGTGCCCTGTGGTATTGACTTCCAACATCACTACAATTTTAACCTATTCAAGGCTAGAATTAATCATTATCTCCTTCACCTATACAGACAAATGGCCTTCTAACATAATCTACGCCCTCGAGTGGCACCCCAGCCTGGTAAAGGATGATCCTCAATGTAAAAAAATAATAAATAAATAAATAAAAATAAAAAACGAAAGCATATTTCCATAGGATCAAAAGCTTTTAAAATCAGCCTTTCCTCAAAATGAAATTAAATTACTCTGAAGATCGTATATATATCTTCGGAACATCTTACAATATATTGATTGATACGGGCTCTACGGCTTATCAAAATGTTTTCAGGTTATTTAAAGCCGGAAAATATATTTAGATCGTTAGAATTTTGTGGGTGAAGGGGTTTAATAATAATGGTTTGCTTATAGCACCTGGTATTCCTAAGTGTTCATCCATCTAGGTACTGACAAGGCTCGACGTTGCTTTACATCGCTGATCATACGTCTTCAACGTGATGTAGCCGTTCATTCGTCATACAGCAGAAGCTATTATATATATATATATATATATATATATATATATATATATATATATATATAAGTAAATAATGTAAGATTCAAGAAACGGCAGATATTTTTATATAGAATGATAAATATTAAAAATAAAGCATTATTAATATTAAAATGGAAAATACCATTTAAAACTAGAACCCCATGAAGAACGGAAATTTACCAAGAAACTTCGAAGTCAGGGAAAAGAACAAAAAAATTAATATTTAAAAGTAAAGCAATATTTTTATATTATATAATATTAATAATATGATATCATGAATAGTATATATATATATTATATATATATATATATGTGTGTGTGTGTGTGTGTGTGTGTGATGTCACGATCTGCGACGCGATTTTCGCTTCCGCGTCTCGTATACACGAGTTAGTCGTTGATTTGAAATTTTCATGCAACAAAAACAGACTATCATTATTGTTTCGTCCGTGTATTGGTTGATTTATTGAAAAGTAATTTTCATGTTTGATAATGGCTTATGTAAGCCGAAAGCTTAGATTGATTTAAAATGTATCAATATGGTGATTTCCTTTCGTCTTTCAATGATAATGTTATTTGCTTATCAGACAATATGAAAGGAACTTACCTAAAATAAATAGATACAACGTGTGTATATTATTTAAAGAAACATGAATCAATATATATATATATATATATATATATATATATGATAAATATTTAAACAAATTTATAAATTTAATCATTTCGATTTTATATTAACTTGCATTTTGTCTTGTTAAGTATCATTCGTGTGAACAATTCATGTGCATATCATTCGTGTCCATAATTATTGTGACCTCTGTATCGAATTTGGTTAATAAATTTGCGGGCGAAAATAGGGTACGTATGTGTGTTGCCATCTAGAAGCATGTTTATCCATGTCTACAAACGTGTCCGTTTGTTCACTGCGGGTTGTTTGATGTATTATTGCCTAAAATATTTAATTAATTATTCATAATTTATATCATTCAAAATTATAAGCTCGAAC